TTATAGGGAAATATAACTTACCGGAGAGCAATGATATAGATGTTTTAATGAGGGTGTCTTGTGGTGCGTATCCAAAGCTACTCAAAGCTTCTTAGAATTACGTAAGTAAAGAAGAAATATAACATATTTGTTTACTATAATGTTGGTACTGAATGTGGAACGTGAATAATCATAATTTTACTTCGAAAATAACTCATTTTATAATGAAACAGAACGAAACTATGTGGCGGATGATGCTACCTGTCCCCTGCCCACCAAGTGCTGAACTCCACACATACTCCGATAAATTCTGTAATTAGTTTTGTTAATAATGTTTAACCTTTTCAATGCCATTTACAAAATAAACATATAAACAGGTATAAATGTCCTTATGACCTCATAATCTTTAAGCAAAGACAAAGCTACGTATCGCCGGTGTCTGGACACTTCGAGGCTACCATAACAACACCGGTCTCCAGACAAATGCATGTGATTGGTCAGTTCTCCATCTGATCCGGCAACGTAATTGGCTAAACGATAAGATGACCAACGTTATCTTTTGTTTAATATCCTTATCCGTTTTAAGGGGGGTAGAAATAGCCTCACCTACTCTATCCCTTTGAAATGTATATCTTTCTTGTCTCAGTAAACATACTTGAACTTGAATTGTGCTTTTAAGTGTAGAAGTTTTTTTTTAACATTGGTAGATCCAGAAATAAAACTGAATAATGCGTGTTTTTGGGGGAGTTGTCACTCCAGCCAGCCTGGCCTGAGAACGTGTTGAATACGAATAATTGCCGACAGAACCTATAACCACCAAGCCTAACTACTCGGTATATTCTAGTATGTAATAATATTAACTTATATATGATAAAATACAAATTTTGAAATCGCAGTACGTTAATAAAATTGATGAACGAGTCTCGGTGGTGAACCGCTAGTTGGACAAGCCTAGCCAAAAGTTCCAATTGCTGTTCAGTGTTTGGCAGGGAAGGCAAAGAGGTATATTCTACCATGTTGTACCATATCACCTCACCCACGAGTATAATGTGAGTATAAGTTTGGACGAATTTGCGTGTTTACAAGTTAGTTGTGTGTGTAAACTAAAGTCTTTGAAAATGTAATCGGTTATTACGAAACGCGTTCAGGCGTCGCGTCAGACTAGAAATAAAAATGAATTTTGGAGACTTGATTTTTCAATTACCATCGACAGTGAAAAGAAACATAAGATATATTGAGAAAATTCGTTAGAATTATTAATCTTACCTTTTCGGCCATATTTAACATATAATATATATATAATCAGATTCTTTATTCAGATAAAGGTGCATACATAATGATAGATTTAAAGATAGAGATACTACATACAATACCTAAAGTCACTAGTACGCATAGCGTTTCGGGCAAGGTGAGGGGGGGGGGAACACTTGGATTAAAACTTAATAGTAATTGAGCTTAAAGTATAAATTGCGTTGAAAAAATATTAAAAATAAAAAAGGGGGGGACAAGGCAGAGAATAGCAATTATACAAGTTGGTCTTGTATAATTATACAAGCAATTATACAAGTTATTGTAATCAAACAGCATTGATTACAATAATAAGACATGGGTTGACATTTAGGGGGTAAGGTAGGTTACATGGAGTTCATTAGGTAGTTTTTATCTTAAACTGGTTGAGAGAGGTACAGTCTTTGGCATGAATAGCCCCCTAATGTCTTAGAGTAGTTCATGAAATGTTTGATAAAAATCTTGAAGGAGCGGTTGTTTGCGGCCAACAAGTTGATGGGGTTGATCAGGTGTGGATGGGCCCATACAACTGTAATTTGGTGTTGTGAAAACATTGTGGTCGGTTTCTCCTGCAGACAGTTTATGCCTGGTTGGTTGATACCTGGTTGATGGGGTTCTGGGAGTTCTTCTACTCCCCAAGCCCGGCCCGAGGCCAGGCTTGACTTGTGAGAGTTTGGTCCACTAGGCTGTTGCTTGGAGCGGCCTTGGAGTATGCCGTTGTTGTAATATTTGAGGTGTTGGAATAAAGACTGAGAAAAAATGTCACAAGTCTGTAAAGAATGGCACGGTGAATCTTTGGGAATCTTGACTCTTTTTCAAAGTATTTGTACTAAAGAACCATGTCGGTCGTACGCCTGCCAGGCGGTACAAAGATATAAATTGTGAAGCTAAGCCACAAAAAGTTTAGATAACACCGCTCCTGTGCCAGGTAAGTCTACTACGGGCTCACCATAGCCCGTGCTACTTGGAACTTGTTTTGAGTAGCTGAATCTATAACAATCACAAAGTTTAATATAGCTAGGCGACTACCTTTATGACTGATGGAGATTAGATGGTTCAGGAAAGGGCTGTGTATTCGGCAGAGTGGTTTCACATCTGGGCCGCTAAAAGGGAACTTGAAGTTTCAAAAGGATCATCAGTTTTTTATTTAGTTCATTTATTATGCACCCCATACCCATCTTGTGGGCGGTATTGGAAAGGGTTACAGAAGCGCGTAATGGGCTCGGGGACTGAACCCCACAATAAGCTACGCAAGTTACAATCACACTGTGTATTCTAGCATTTCGGTGTTTAGCTACCACATAGGAGTGATTTAGATAACTGCACTTGAAGCAAATGTGGTCATGGTGGATATGATTTCATATGACAAATCATAGACTATTGAGTAGTCTATGATTTAGACTACTCAATAGTCTTTTTGAGTAGACTATTGATCCTACTTTGGAACATTCCCCTCCCACACCACCTGTTTTACAACCCTGTGGGTGGAAAAACCTGCAGCTGCTCCTGTTTTCAGTCCCACATTGTGGCTTGTTGAGCTTAAAACCATTGCTCCTTGTTTGTGTTACATCTGACCTTTTTTAAAAAATTGTCTGGATCCACCAAATTTTTCAATATTAACAAAAAATAACTAATTTGCCGAGATGTGCCTAATGTCTGGTTTGCAGTATTGTTGACCGTGTGGCCCTCAACCATTCCTGGTTTGAAAGTTGACTTAGTTCAACTCCAGGCAATAAAAGGCATTCCTGAACATTCTCCAAAATGGCTATATCTTTCTGAAGATGATGTCTCCATGCTTGGATATGTAGCAAGTATATTTACTATATAATATACTTGCCTCACACTCTCATTAGCTTGTGTAGATAATGATATAGGTTATGTAAGATAAAAAAACCAATCACATTTCCCAAATGTACAACTAAGCAGTTAATACTTCTTATTAACTTGATAGAGGATGGTCATGTAACAACTGATTTCTACCATTGTAACGGTTGCTATTTGTAACCCTAAGACTGTAATACTGTAATTGTATTTTTAACCCCATAAAAACTGGAAAGAGTTCGCCCTCACAAATGCTCAACCCAGTTGAGCATTTGTGATCAACCCACTTTCACGGGAAAGTGTGAGAGATGACCAAGGTGTTAAAGATATCTCTGCAGTCTATTACAGTGTGGATAGTTAATAAGGTTACTTGTTTAACAAATGCAGCCACCACTCCTCCCAGTTACTTTTAAAACTTAGGCTAATTAACTCTGTAGGAGATTATTCAACTAGCACCAGTAACTTTGGGAACTTAACCTTTTTTATATATTGATGAACAAATCCACAAGGGCCGTGACGAGGATTCGAACCTACGTCCGAGAGCATCCCAGACGCTGCCTTAATCGACTGGCTATGACATGGTAAAAAAAAAAAAAAAAAAAAAAAAAAAAAAAAAAAAAGAGTTGAAACCAGAAGTTCTACTGAACTTATTTGGATCCTGCAGCCTCTCCGAGATACAAACCAGGGTTTTACACAACTCCCCCCATGCACTCGAGCTATGTCAATATACACAACTCCCCCACTCGAGCATGGGGGAAGTTGTGTGGTGCAACACAGCCCATTATGTTCAGTCAATTGGTTGTAGACCCAGGAAAGGGTGCATTTGTTAATTTAGGGGCGACGACGATTGTGGGACTAGGAAGGGGTAGAGCTTGAGGGCAAGGTGCCTTTAGGGGTGGAGCCTAGACTTCACCTTCAAGGATGTAAGAGCCAAAGATTTTAGAGTGTCAACTGGGAGTGCAAAGAGGGGGCGAGTGATCTAACACAAAGCGACAACATCGGCTGAGGAGAGCAGTGGAAAGGTAATGTCTGCGAGATTCACAGCACAACGGGTAGTCCATCAGTAATTATAAGGTGTTTTCCAGATTCCTTTATAAATTGTTAGCAAAGATTTATAGGTCAATAACAAATACATATTGTAGATTATGATTTCAAATTTATCACACTAATTTGTGAAAGGCAGAATAAGAGAATACTACAAATGACCAAAATAACATAAATTTCAAGATATTTATGATTATAAAGCACTGTACATAGGGTTGGACATAATGTATATACATGTTTTTATATATTATCTGTTTTACAGTTTTTCCCAGTAAACATCTGCACCTTATGACAGCCTCTGACAATGTTGATATTATGGCTTGCATTGTTACTGTATTCAAAGTATATTAGCCTTGATTAGGACTGACGAAGAGCACTTAAGACTTTAATTAGTTTCTAAACCAAATTTCAGCATATCATTTTATAAGAATTAAAACTGCAAGTCTCTCTAAATTGTTAAGGAATATTCTTATCTAAGGAAATCTTAACACACAGTGCCAATCAAAAATACTGGCATCTTTTCTTGTGTTTCTATTAAAAATAATCAGTCTGACATTGCTAATATAGTATTAAAATGGCGAAAATGACTATAGGCTGTATGTAGACCACGGGACGAGTTCCTGAATCCATTATTTATGAATCTCGAAAGCTTTTATCCGCTGTTTTGATTTATAATATACTGATTAAAGTAAATCAGTATATTACATATTACATTAAATTATAATATTACTGATTAAAAGTAACTAACGGGATGTAAAACATTGGAGCGCAAACTAGCACAGCACGAGAAATTGAAATTGAAATATGTTTATTGAGGTAAAATACACACAAAGGGATGAGGTAGCTCAAGCTATGCTCACCCCGTTCAGTACATCGTGTTAATACATACATAGACACACATCACAAGCAATAAACGTATTACCGAACATTCTGAGAGATAAACATATACATTAACTAGCACAGCACGAGGATAATGGTCGTTAAGCACTGTGACGTCACCAATAACGCTGTGTTGGGCAAGAAGGTCAGGAGCGGCCGGCGGCTGCCACAGTGTCGGGCTGACAGCCAGCAGACGTAGTTCCTTAGGCGGTGTCCCGCTTCTTACATCATTTGCAGCTACACCGGTCATCAAGTAAGGTTACCGTGGACTTTATTGCTCAATGTATTAACTCATATAAGGTGCAGGTGTCGGTATTTAATTATGGTGTGACCTGGTTGTTGGCGTAGCGTAATGTGGGCTCTGTTATCTGTGATGCCTTCAGAGGGATGGTGATATTTGGGTGGCGTATGATAGAATTGGTAAAGTTATTTACATGGAAACCTAGTTGACGTATCCTAACAATAGTATTAATAATTAGCTTCGTTTAAGATTTAGCCGTACAGCATAAAGTGGCAGGTCCACAATTTTTTTTTTTTTTAAATCTGCATTAGAACGGGCAAAATCAATATCTGGGCAGTACGTAAGGTATTTAAGTACGTGGCCCGTTTAAAATGCAATAATTATTAGTGTAATGAGTAAAGGATACAACTTCCTGCAGAATTTTGGGGATTTGTAGCTCAATTTTAGCCAGCTGTCATATTACTTAAATTTTTAAATGGCTAGTAGGTACTAAAAGGCACTAAATGTACAGCTTATTCCTGTGGCGTAGCGTTGGTGGCAGTTTATGGGTATCTTCTGTGGCTTAATGGTCTGAGGGTGTTTTCACAGCCCCCCCCCCCCTCCCCAAGGCTCGCAGAACTAGGCCGTTTCGATGAATCTTGATGCTTTTAAAACTTAATGGTATTAAACCCACTTTTTTTTTTTTTTTTACTTTACAGAAATCCACACTCGCCTGTTATGTAATTCACGGAAGCAATTATTTCTGAATTACTTTGGTTAAGACCGGGTATTTGGTAAGTTATGCAGGTTTGAATTTCTTCAGTCTTGATATCTGTAGTGTCCATTGCAGCGGGTAAACAAATTTTCAGGTACAGTAGTTCTAATAGTTTGTCGTTAGGTAGAAATTGAAATTTTATTTTGTATTGTATTAAATCTTCCTTCCACCCCACCCCCACTACTTGGGCAATTTTCCTAGTTCATGTGGTTTCTTCAGTAGTGCGAAAGTTGTATTGTAAACCTTTCAGTAAAGTTAATGTATTCAGTGGGGCCGGAATTAGTAAACGTAGAAATCTGCTTGTCTGGGATCACATTGTTTTCCCAGATAGTCAATTTTGTAAGTAATTAAGTGTTGGCATGTCGCTAATTTACGGGCTACTAGTGGACATGCCACGTCTTGTGGGGTCGTAATGATAATCAGTCATGGTATCGGTAGTCACTAGAATGCGTGGTAATATTGTTTGGAATGGCAACTTAAAAGCTATTAGGACGAATGTATTAAACAAATTAAGAATTTAAATTTATTAAATAAGGTTTAGTACTTAAGTTTGTACCCTGGTGTTGCCCTATATATCAAAGATTACAAAGACAAGAGTTAATGTTATACAGAAATTATAATTTGTTAAACAAATAACTTTAGACTTTTTCATAAATTTATTTGATACTTTATAAAACATTAATGGTATAAATAACTTAATGTTTTTGTTTTTCAAGGGTCTGGCGCGACAATCGCCACGAGTCTTCTTGAGAAACTTAAAGTGAACGGAGGACTAGTCAGGCGCACAAGGCACGGAACTAGTTCTGACGTGACGTAGTTGCAAGTCTCGATAGAGGTGGTTGGACGGTGTTGAACACAGGGCGCCTGACAACGTTGCAGGAATATCTGAAAGAAAAGGCAAGTTGTTAAAACTTTCAGGTAATATTTATAATTTGGCAGGAAACTGTTGGAAAGGATATTCTGCAGAATTATAGAAAAAGCATCTGTGGGACATTAGAAACGGTTAGTATTAACTAGTTTACTTGTCCTAGTTATGAGACTTTGGTTTAGGAGGCAGTAAAAATGCCAGTTAAAATGGAAATTAATGGAATAGGCTACCATAATTAGTAGGGAAATATCGATAGATGCGCTTTGAAGCAGCATGATTCAAAGATAGTGTAAAGGATGAATGGTAGTGTTCATGACGTTGTAATTGGGAGGACCTAATAGTGATCGGTGAAAATAGTTTAGGGCATTATGAATAGTTAGCAGGGGGGTGGGGGTGACGAACTGTGGAAGGTGTTGCTTCTACACCACTAGAATTTGCCACTAGAAATATTGAACGTAGAGTTTGCAAGAATACTGCAGTTTCTTACTGGTTAGTGTAAATGTTAGGAAGAATGAAGGAATGTACATATTCTTCAGTTGACTATAACGGTAAGTGTTTAGCAGTTTTAATGTCAAATGGTATAAATTGGTATTCGATGAAGTATGGTTGACGGGCCATTTTGTTAGTGAAAACGTGTAAAAGTAATATAAAGGGAGGAAACGTGACTACTAACGATAACTTTCAGAACATCGTAGATTTGTGGTAGAATGGTGGTTAGAGAATAGTTTGTAGTAGGAAATAGTTTGGCGTGTAGTTACTCTAGCTTGTTGGAGGGGCAAGAAGTAAAGTGAATATTGAAATTAATGCAAACATTTTAACTTTACAGACGCAGTATAGAAAATGGATGAAGACGGGTGGCTGTAGCAGTAAGAAGGCCGGTGAAGCGGACTGCAAAATTGGGGAGCAAGATGCAAAATAAATAAGTTGTAAATCTGTAGGTTGTGTACTTTGAAACTGTTCTTAGAAAAATAGAATCGGTTCCCTCTGTTATGTTTAATATCTGGTGTATGGCGTTATGACTATTGTTCGGCTGGTTTTCTGTAGGTATCAATGTGGTTCCGATAAATGTTGTTCGTATTGGAATAAATATCCCTTAATTATAGACGTTAATGTTTACAGCTGTTTGTATTCTTTAACGGCTGGCTATGCACAGTTTGTCTAAAATGCCATGTTTATTGTTGTAACATTGTCTAGGCCCAGTGTCTGTGACAGTGGCTAGAATTTAAAATGTTTGTTAATAAAGTGTTCATATTGGATAAGAAGTGTGTGAATGTCCCAAATGGCTTTAGTCCTCTTGATGTAAAAGTTTAACCACGAAGTGTTAGTGTCAATGTTAAAATGGTTGTTCCTAAGGGTTTAAAGTGGGGTCGACTGATCACCTTGTTCCTAAAGAGCATTTTGGTGAAACAGGCTGTACATTGAATGACGCAAATTGGTTTATAGGGAATATTTTTGTCGACCGTAATCCTCACCTAGGTGGTGGTAAATACTTGGTATTCGGCAAAAATCGACCAACTTTCGCCGCTAGCGGCCAAAAACCGTGCGATTTTCGCACCTGGCTGGCAAAAATTGCGCGATTTTCGTCGCTACCGGCCAAAAATCGCGCGGTTTTCACCGCTAGCGGCCAAAAACCACGCGATTTTCGCCGCTACCGGCCAAAAATCGTGCGAATTTCGCCGCTAGCAGACAAAACTCGCGTGATTTTCGCCGCTAGCGGCCCAAATCTCGCGAATTTTGCCCCCTAACGGCATAATTTCGCCGCTAGCGGCAAAAATCGTGCGAATTTCGCCACTAGCGGCCAAAAATCGTGCGAATTTCGCCGCTAGCGGCCAAAAAACCCGCGATTTTCGCCGCTAGCGGGCAAAAATCGCGCGATTTTCGCCGCTAGCGGCCAAAAACCGTGCGATTTTCGCCGCTAGCGGCCAAAAACCGTGCGATTTTCGCCGCTAGCGGCCAAAAACCGTGAGATTTTTGCCGCTAGCGGCGAAAAACAATGCGATTTTTGCCGCTACCGGCGAAAATCGCGTTTTTTGGCCGGTAGCGGCGAAAATCGCACGGTTTTTGGCCGCTAGCAGCGAAAACCGCTAGATTTTCGCTGCTAGCGGTCGAAAATCGTGCGATTTTCGCAGTTAGCGGCCAAAAATCTGGCGATTGTTGCCACTAGCGGCCAAAATCGCCAGATTTTTGCCCTCCAGCGGCGAAATTCACCCGATTTTTGCCCGCTACCGGCGAAAATCGCACGGTTTTGGCCGCTAGTAGCGAAAATCGCGCGGTTTTTGGCCATTAGCGGCAAAAACCGAGCGATTTTCGCCGCTAGCGTCCAAAAATAGGGAGATTTTCGCCGCTACCGGCCAAAAACCGTGCGATTTTCGCCGCTAGCTGGCAAAAATCGGGCGATTTTCGCCGCTACTGGCCAAAAATCGCGCGATTTTCGCCGCTAGCGGCAAAAAACCGCGCGATTTTCGCCCTTAGTGGCCAAAAATATGGCGATTTTTGCTGCTATCGGCGAAAATCGCCCGATTTTTGCCCTCCAGCGGCAAAATTCGCCCGATTTTTTGCCCGCTATCGGCGAAAATGGCACGGTTTTTGGCCGCTAGCGGCGAAAATCGGGCGATTTTTGCCGCTAGCGGCCAAAAACCGCGCGATTTTCGCCGCTAGCTGGCAAAAATCGCGCGATTTTCGCTGCTAGCGGCCAAAATCGCGCGATTTTCGCCGCTAGCGGCGAAAAATCGTGCAATTTTTGCCGCTAGCGGCCAAAAATCGCGCGATTTTCGCAGGTAGCGGCCAAAAATTTCTGCGCGGCGAAATCGCCACTAGCGGCAAAAATCGCGCGATTTTTGGCCGCTAGTGGCGAAAATCGGTCGATTTTCGCCGCTAGCGGCCAAAAACCATGCAATTTTCGCCGCTAGCGGCCAAAAACTGCGCGATTTTCGCCGCTAGCGGCCAAAAATCGGGCGATTTTTGCCCTCCAGCGGCGAAATTCGCTCGATTTTTTCCCGCTATCGGCGAAAATCGCGCGTTATTTGGCCGGTAGCGGCGAAAATCGCACGGTTTTTGGCCGCTAGCAGCGAAAATCGCGCGGTTTTTGCTTATAACCTAACCTCACCTCGCCTACCCTAACCTAACCTAACCTTTACCTAACCTCACATACCTAACTAACCTAACCTAACCTTTGTAGCCCAAAATTGGGCTACTTTCGCTAGTTTGTAGCCCAAAATTGGGCTACTTTCGCTACATTGTAGCCCAAAATTGAGCTACTTTGTAGCCCAAAATTGTGCTACTTTCGCTACTTTGTAGCCCAAAATTGGGCTACTTTCGCTACTTTGTAGCCCAAAATTGGGCTACTTTCGCTACTTTGTAGCCCAAAATTGGGCTACTTTCGCTACTTTGTAGCCCAAAATTGGGCTACTTTCGCTACTTTGTAGCCCAAAATTGGGCTACTTTCGCTACTTTGTAGCCCAAAATTGGGCTACTTTCGCTACTTTGTAGCCCAAAATTGGGCTACTTTCGCTACTTTGTAGCCCAAAATTGGGCTACTTTCGCTACTTTGTAGCCCAAAATTGGGCTACTTTCGCTACTTTGTAGCTCGAAATTGGGCTATTTTGGCTACTTTGTAGCCCAAAATTGGGCTACTTTCGCTAAAATTTTGCAAAAATTTCGAAAAATTCGGCTACTTTCGCTACTTTTTAACCCAAAATTGGGCTACTTTCGCTACTTTGTAGCCCAAAATTGGGCTACTTTCGCTACTTTGTAGCCCAAAATTGGGCTACTTTCGCTACTTTGTAGCCCAAAATTAGGCTACTTTCGCTACTTTTTAGCCCAAAATTGGGCTACTTTCGCTACTTTTGTGCAAAATTTTTGCAACTTTTTTGCCCAAAATTGGGCTACTTTCGCTACTTTGTAGCCCAAAATTGGACTACTTTCGCTACTTTTTAGCCCAAAATTGGGCTACTTTCGCTACTTTGTAGCCCAAAATTGGGCTACTTTCGCTACTTTGTAGCCCAAAATTGGGCTACTTTCGCTACTTTGTAGCCCAAAATTGGGCTACTTTTCCTACTTTTTAGTCCAAAATTGGGCTACTTTTCCTACTTTGTAGCCCAAAATTGGGCTACTTTCGCTACTTTTTAGCCCAAAATTGGGCTACTTTCGCTACTTTGTAGCCCAAAATTGGGCTACTTTCGCTACTTTTTAGCCCAAAATTGGGCTACTTTCGCTACTTTGAAGCCCAAAATTGGGCTACTTTCGCTAAAATTTGCTACTTTCGCAAAATTTTTGCCCAAAATTGGGCTACTTTCGCTACTTTGTAGCCCAAAATTGGGCTACTTTCGCTACTTTGTAGCCTAAAATTGGGCTACTTTCGCTACTTTGTAGCCCAAAATTGGGCTACTTTCGCTACTTTGTAGCCCAAAATTGGGCTACTTTCACTACTTTGTAGCCCAAAATTGGGCTACTTTCGCTACTTTGTAGCCCAAAATTGGGCTACTTTTGCTACTTTGTAGCCCAAAATTGGGCTACTTTCGCTACTTTGTAGCCCAAAATTGGGCTACTTTCGCTACTTTGTAGCCGAAAATTGAGCTACTTTTGCTAAAATTGCGCAAAAGTTTCGCAAAAATTTCGAAAAATTTGGCTACTTTTGCTACTTTGTAACCCATAGTTGGCTACTTTCGCTACTTTGTAGCCCAAAATTGGGCTACTTTCGCTACTTTGTAGCCCAAAAATTGGGCTACTTTCGCTACTTTGTAGTAAAAAATTGGGTTACTTTGTAGCCCAAAATTGGGCTACTTTTGCCCAAAATTGCGCTACTTTTTAGCCCAAAATTTCGCTAAATTGGGCTACTTTCGCTACTTTTTAGCCCAAAATTGGGCTACTTTCGCTACTTTTTAGCCCAAAATTTCGCTACTTTCGCTACTTTGTAGCCCAAAATTGGGCTACTTTTGCTACTTTGTAGCCCAAAATTGGGCTACTTTCGCTACTTTGTAGCCCAAAATTGGGCTACTTTCGCTACTTTGTAGCACGAAATTGG